GGTTGATTAGATTGTCTACTCCGAAACTGGTGCAGCTGGGTTTACCATGACTCGTACTAAAACCCTTCTCACACGGGAGTGTTGGTGAGGAGCTACGCAGCGGCAGAAGGAGCATCAACACGAAACTTTGAGCCGGTAGGTCTGCAATTGTCGGCGCTGCGCCACCGCAACGTGATTGATGTGTGGAGGTAACCTTCACATATCTCCCTGGTCGGGAGGGTTGGATGAGAGGAACCAGGGGGTTCCTGCAGTGTACTTTAGCAGTGTACGCCGTAGTATATTGCTCTGCACGCATGCTCACGTATCCAAAACCGTCACTGCGGCACCCTCCATGTGGAGAACCCGAAGCATTTCAGCCTCGTGACTAAAACATTTCTCGTTCAACCCATTCTCCTCTAAACTGTTACTCAAACTAGAGGTAGCCTTTTGAGGTCATTTGCAGATTATCGGGTCCTCGACAACTGGTCAGTCTGAAGAGCACTTCGGTTTTCATCGCTTCACCAAGTTTCTGGTACAAGTGTCCCTAATAAGAGGGTTTTGTAAGCTCTCCGTCCAAGGATCCCCGTCTCTTAATCGTTTTCAACACTGCTTGCTGTGAAACACCTTCGCAACCAGCAGAAGATACTGTTTGGAAATGGTGTTGGTTGAAGTTGAAGCTTTGTTTCAGGATTTCATTCAAAACTTTAACTTGGCTTCAGTGAAAAACTTATTCCATCAAATTTCACTTTTCCACCGTGTATTCTCATCTGTTGAATTTGAGTACCTTGTTACTCTACAGACTAGCTTGTTTCGTATCGATCAGAATGGCGCGCGCGATGTTATTTTAGTGTTTGAATTCGTTGATTACTAGCTAGGATAGACATGTATATAGTTGGCAAATGTGGTATTTTCAACCTTGCTTTTTATTCTTGAATCTTCCGTTGAATTCGATAGGGCATGTCCATTGGAATCCGGGTTGGTCGAAGTCCAAACTTTGAGAGTAAGGATTTAGATTTGACTATGTGAATGGTGTTGTTACTAGCGTCCAGTGTGAAGTTAGTCAGCAGCGTCGGCACAACGGGTCAACGCTAGAGCTGTAGGGATACTTGGTGTGGATAGAAAATTCATCTTACTTGGTTTTTTAAGTTTCTCGGTTCCTCGTTGGATGCCTCGGTTTTCGTCAGAACAAAGCAGCAAGCCTCTGTCATGGACTGATGCCTCTGGGAATACTTACTCCTATTATGAGCATCCCTTCTTGAAGTCTGTCATCTTCATTTTGGGCCAGGAGCTTTGTGAACGATTAGCATACTATGGTCTCACGCCCAACTTGCAGACCTTCTTGAAGGAGTTTGCTGGTATGGATGATAGTGGTGCCAACTCTTATATTTCTATTTTCAATTCGATCATTTATTTGACCCCCCTAGTGTCGGCCGCCTTGTCCGATACCATCCTCGGTCTATACGTCACGATCGTCATATTTTCACTGATCTATGCATGTGGGTTGGTCTACTGACGCTATCAGCA